TGATTTTACTTTAACTACAACTTCAAAGTAAAATGAACTTAATTTATCAAATAGGTGAACTTTTCATCAGTAACTTCTGAAAGTGAGTTCAAGTGGCTCACAACAGACAGTTCAAGTTCCTACTTGCAATTTTATAGTCAGTGAAAGCAAAAATCTTAGTAAGGTGAACAATTTTGAGTTGTCATTTTTACAATGTGGCACACATGGGACACCCTCCTCCAGAGACCACCTGGCGAGAGGGGGCGTGGTCAGTCTGAACGACCTGTCAGGTTAATCAGGCTGACCACCCCCATCATCAGATCAATGACACTGAGGCTGGAGATACATACAGTACATACTGTACATAAATGCAAGGTAATACATACAACTTGTTTTTCAAAAGAACCACAACAACTATTGTACTCTATATTTATAGAATATACTCTATGCCTCTATGAACTTTTGGACATATGACGTTGTCATATTACAACCACACACATAAAGATTTCAGAGACTTCACATGGCTGTGCTTGTGTTTGAGTTAAGACATTGTTTATTCTTTATACTTTCACCATATGATTTATACTGAAGATAAAACATGAAGTAGTAAATAGTCTCATTATTATTTTAATGACAAAAAATAATTTTGTTTGAACACATTTAGCAACAAATTCAGAATCTCCATGTCTCGATCAATATCAATAATTCACAGAAGTATTTTGTGGTGTAAGTCTTCAAGCTTTGCACATCTACTGCAGAGATTGAAAGTTTTACAGAACAGCTCATGATTAGAAGAAGAACATATGTGAATGGAAGCTTTCAGTTGTTTTTGTTTTCAATTATTTTGCAAACCATTGTGTGACAATTAGTTTTACATCAAATGTTGAGCTACAGACAGTGTTTGAGAGAAGTACAGAATACCTTCTTCTAGGGGTGGGCGATATGGCCTAAAATTCATATCGCGGTATAATTTGGGTCATAGACGGTAGACGGTATATATCGCGGTATAATTTGGTGTGTGAATTTCAATATAGGTCTAGCAGGTTCTTGCATAAAATAGTCAAGATTGTTAATTATTTATATATTAGAATCTAATATATATTTTTTGAGTTAGAAAATCAGTTGTGAGACGAATAAAGAGACAAATAACATACATTATTTATGTATGTTACAGTAAATACCATTCACTGTAAAAGCAATTTTTAAAAAGAAAAACATATGCATTCATTTAAAATATAAAAAACTCACAAATGATGAAAACAAAGTCTGTAGGAGTTAGACATGGTCATTATTTATAGTGTCTGAGAGTTTTGTGCAGGTGCATGACTTCAGTAAAAGCTGTTTGTTTACAAAGCTGGTCTTGCCATTTGTTGACGCTCCCTAAGCGCTTTTCTCTGCGCTTGCAGTGAACTGGATGATTCAATGGATTTTATGTTCATTAAAACAGCGCATTGGATTTGAACAATTGATGTAAATGATCATTTTGGCACAAATAATTTTGTTTAACAAAGTAGCTTTCGTGAGATATTGACCGCGGAGGTCCGAAACTGACGCTAACTTTCCCAAACTTCTGCTGTGATGCTGCGGACACGGCACACGCTGGCGCTTCAAGCTTACGCCCCTTTGACACCGATTGGCCAAAAGGTAGACGCTTAAACTGTGATTGCTGTGTGTGTATTTACCTCTGCTGGGGCCGCTGTGACAACAATACATAGACAGAAACACGGTGTTAATGCCGTGCTGTTGTTCGTTGTTTCCAGTGGTGTCCAATAGTGCTAGGCTAATGTGCTAGGCTAATAGTGCTAGGCTAATGTGCTAGGCTAATAGTGCTAGGCTAATGCTGCTGAATGCCGGTTTGTTTTGGTCCTTTCTGCTGGCGTCAGAGCCTGCGCAATTTAATGACATAATGACGTATCGCAATATGCCGGTATAACAAAAATCTCTACCGTGGGCCAAATTTATACCGTCTACCGCTTATACCGTTTATACCGCCCAGCCCTACCTTCTTCAAAGTATTTTATCACATATCCTGTTACAGAGTCAAATTAAGTTATGTATTCTGAATACAGCACTGATTGAAGAGCAGGTTCAGCAGATTCATCATGAATGAAGCTTATTTGCATCATATTATGGAGTAAAAATAATGCAATGGATGAATTATTGTTTGCATATTTGATTGATTAAAATAGTTCTTTATATATTTTTGATATAGCATGACCAAATACTGACATGTATTTCTTCAATTTTGGAAGAAGTAACTGCGTTCTAAATACCACCAAAGGAAAAATGTCTCTTGTAAAAGCAAAAAATAAAACCTGGACTCACTTCTCTCTTCTCAAAGCCCACCTGTTCCATCTTGCAGTTCCTTCACTTTGTAACCGTGTCAGTATCTTTCAACGTCCAAAAAAACTGCCATATAAGTGATGCATTATTAATATGATTAAAACATATTATTTGGAGTCTTGAGCCAAATATCAATGATGAATACATCTATCTGTCTGTTTCTCGGTCTATCTATTGCATACTTAGAAAAGCCAAGGGTCACTATAACGGTTTGAGCTGAGAGCTGATCCACTGATCTTGTGCCCAAACATGAAGGCCTGTGAAGGCCAACAGCTTGTGCCAAAGCTTTTGTGTAACCTGACAGGTTGGATGGATGGATATCAAGGAGGTGTGTGCAAGATTCTGAACAATTCTTGAACCTCAGCTATCAGTGTGTTTCCATGCACGGTAAATGTGCACTTTCTGTATGCTTCCCTGTGAGTCAAATCACATGTGACCAGTTCTGACACATCTTTCACACATTGAACAAATTCCCAGTGACATTTTACTGGGCTCCTGTGCTGAAGCGCCACTATAAATGCCCTCCTGTCTGAATAAACCTGTCCACAACCATCCCTGTGGTGACTAAAAGCAGGAAGTCAGAGCCTATATTTGAGGCGTATGGTCACAGAAGAGAGACTAGCTCCTCTGTTCCGTGCTGTAAACGGCACATCTCACGGTGTGGAACACATGAGCCCAGAAACTGTGAGTAGAAAATACTCACAGTTTGCTCAAAAACGCTGTGATTAAACTCTAGAGTGATACTTAAAGCAGTTTGATGAAGCCAGCACAAGGGAGAGCAAAGCATTCTTTCAAGAGTTTGCCGCAAAAAAATGACTTTCATCTTCTATCCAGAGTTATTTCAATGGCATATTAGAAATACATTTAGAGTTTTATTGCCAAGTTTTTTATAAGCAAGATGTCATGGGGGAAGTGAATGAAGGATCCAAAATGCACAAATGCAAAAAATGAAGATTTAATGATACTATAGTTCAGGGAAAAACAAACACTAAACATAGGAACCGGCATAACGGACAGACGGACAAACCAAGACAGTGACAACACAATACAATACAATGGACCAGCAACAAGTAGAGAGGAGCACAGGGTACATACAGAGAGGCACAGATGAAACCAGAGGAAATCCGGGCGGGGCAGACAATCAAGGCAGGGCAACAGGACAGGAAGTGAAACTAAAAGCAAACCGACTGAGAACTGATATCAAAATAAAAGTACAAAAGAACACAAAATCCACACCGAGACAAAGGCGATACTGTTATTTTCCCCTATGCAAAAATATACTGCATATGCATTGATAATCATTGTCAACAAGATGGAGTTCACACGTGTTTAAAAGAGTACCCGAACACAACATATATTTAGAAGACTGCTACTGCATAACAGAGAGCCTAATTGTCATTCTAAGGTTTTGAAAGTTGTAGACCCCGCCCATCTTCAGGTCCTGCGGCCTAAATCAGCTCCTCTATCGGCTGGAAACCTGAAAGGGAGGAGATGGCAGAATACAAGCAATTCAAGAGTGTGTTCAAACACTGTGTTCAAACACTGTGTTTTAATAAATAAAAAAATCAAACGTCTTAAAAAGATGGATTGATAATCTATGGATGAAAAGCATAGTGTGGTGATTAGTGTATAGTCAGAGAGTGTTTGGGCCTGTGTCTTGTTTGAGTGTGTTTGTTGTCTTGTCTGTATCATTCCATTGGTAGTAAAGTATTGTTTTGCATTACATTTCTGTTATGTGATTTACTGAATAAATCCCTATATGGTATTATTGTATTGCATTGTTGTTTTGTGTGAGAGGTCCTTCCTCAAGTGGAGGAGTTCAAGTATCTCGGGGTCTTGTTCACGAGTGAGGGAAGGATGGAGCGTGAGATTGACAGGCGGATAGGTGCAGTGATGCGCAGTGATGCGGTCGCTGTATCAGACCGTTGTGGAGACGATGGAACTGAGGCGAAAGGCAAATGTCCCACCAGGAAGAGACCGCTGGGAAGAACTAGGACACGCTGGAGGGACTACATCTCCCAGCTGACCTGGGAATGCCTTGGGGTTAGGGTTAGGGTTAGATGAGATGAAGCTGGAGGAAGTGTGTATGTATAGGGAAGTCTGGGCGTCTCTACTTAGACTGCTGCCTTCGCGACCTGGCAACAGATGAAGTGGAAGAAAATGGATGGATGGATGGTCCAGAGAAAGGCTGAATGCTTTATTAGCCTTTTTCAAATACATTTCTCTTGTGGATTTATGCTCATCATCTAACCTCAAATATACTGTGTTAGCATAATACAGCATTCTTAATTTGTTTTTTTACTTTAAAATCTCTTTGTTCAACAGAACACTGGAAGCCAGAAACAGGCTAGGCTAGCCAGAAACAGGCTAGGCTAGGGAATTACACAGACCCAGATACAAAAAACAAACGAAAAAAGGGAAGAGAGAACTGAAGGAAAACCAGTTTTGTGGATTGGAAAGCTATTCTAAATCAGTATCTCAGATCCCTTGACCAAAGTCCTGGACCAGGATTCAGAGAAGATCTTCCATTGCTGCTGATACTTCTCTTGGAGTTGGCAAAACTTCTTCATGATTTACTGGAAGCACCACCACTAATAGCTCATCACTGTGGCTGGAACACACAGTAGAATTGTGGCCCGATTCTGTCCAACTGTGTATTATTCCCGACGGACTTGACTTTACCTCCGCTTTGAACCAAACGTGGGCTCAAAATGGACCAGAGGGAGGATAAACAACACTTTTGACTGGATTCTTTGCCGCTCCCCACCCAGCATCACCACAGCTGCGTCCATCTCCTCTCCGTTCAAAGCCTTGCGCGGGCACTGGCCACATCACAGCGCGCAGCCGGTCCCCCTGCGGCTACATGTAAGCAACATTCATCGGCTCCTTAGAAATAAATCTCTCATTAGCTTGTGTGCAAAGACCTCAGTCCCACCTTGAGGTCAAACGAGGCTGCTCCAGTCATGAACAGGTTTCCTTCTCTGCCCGCCAACAATAACACCGGCCTCGCCATTGAGGAATTCTGCAGGATTTCAACAGGTAGGCATAGGAATGATGAATAGAACTGCTCTCTCTCTCTCTCTCGTTTTCTACCTCTTTTTTCCTGCCTCATTACGCCTTTGTATTGCCAGACACAACAGTCAATGTTTTGGCTATTGCTATGTACGTATGGAGCTGATAAAGTTATAATGTATTTGGGTGGAAGTGTGGAGGGGCCTTATCAGTAGAGCTATGGGAGCAATCTCAGAAATGTGCCAAGATGTGTGAGATAGGGGTTAAGAGAGGGCAATCTATTCGAACAAATATGAATTCAGCTGCGCCTGTTATTCAGCGATTATGTACGCTAAATTGGCGAGTCACTTCTGTGTGTATTCAATTCTTTCCCACATAACTATCCTCGAGACATTAACAATTACCTCATCCATCTCCTCATTGTCTACGGCAGGCTATGGACTTTGAAACTGTTTTATCATACACTCGAGTTCAGAATAGATAGACCAAACAAATATTATGATTCTAAAAGCTATCAAAATAAAGCTGTGACCTTTGATTTGTAAGGAGTGCTTAAATTCCTTGCACAACTGAGAAGAATTCCAAGCTATACCAAACCCAAAACATGATAATAGATGCTTGGTTTGAGCTGTGCGGAGGTCACGCATTGGCACAAAGGCCCAGAGCGCAGCAGGAAGTAGACAGAGGGCCCAGTGAGGGTGGTGGCTGGCGCTGATGTCCATGGGTTTGGATGAAAAGTGAAGTCTTTTTATAGCAGCTGTCCGTTCGCGAAGGCGGGGTCAGCTGGTCTGGAGTGTGGGAGTGCAGAGACGCTCACATGCAGACAGATGGATGGACTGACATTAACAGGCTGAAGTAATAAGTCTTGGAGAAAGAAGAAAGAAAGACAAACATAGTTGAGTTTGTGTAACCCTTTACTTACCTCGTAGTTCAGTTAGAAAACAGTGTCTCGCATTTTATTCCTTGATAATGTAGTATTTATCACCCTTTACATACAAATGTTATGGGAGCACTCTCTAGCATCAAGTTGTAAGCAAAAGACAAACAAACAAAACACTGTCCTCACACTGTTACAAACAACAATAATAATAACTACATTTCCTAACACTTTATAATATCCAGCAATAACAGTGACCTACACACACCCCAAAATGTGTTAAATCCCCCCCTTCCCTCTCCTCTCTACCTCCACTTATTTCTAAATCTGTATGAATTTAATGTAAACATTACTTTTATTTTATAATATATTATACAGGTAATTGACATTATAATATGTTTTCATTGTTTCCGTATTATGCATAATGTCACTTTTGTTCTTAATTCTACCAAAAAGGTAAAAAATAACTCTTAGTAAAAATAAAAGTATTTGATCTGTCAAGGTAATAACATCGCTAACCTACTATTGTCCGGTGCATAAGAACCAATATGCCAAGACTGGAGAGACTAAATTTATCTGAAATTTCCCCACTTTAGGACAAAAAAAGGATTTCTTTATCAAAACTCTTGGAGTCTCACTTATTCAGAATAAAAATATCAAGCTGTTTATCAGACTGCATTAGATGGACGACAAAAAATTAAAAACAGATCCAAATTTGAGTGGTGGATGGCTGGGAACAAAAGACTTCTTTTAACACTCATCACCAGTCACTCTCCCCCATCTTCCGTTCAGCTGTGACTATCTTAAACAGCTGGGAATGGACCCTTTTCTATCGAAGCTGCATAAAAGACATGACTTCAGCCTGATACAGCAGAGCAACCAGAGCAACCAGAGCACCAGGCTGCTCTTGTGATCCAGAAAAATAACATTCAACAAGATATCAGGATTTGGCATACCCTGTATCGATTGCTGTGGATGTTGGTTCGTTGTGGATGGGATTTTTTTTGGAGATAATTGCATATTTTTAGTTCTGCAAGTCACAGGTCACATAATGGCTTGTTTTTTCTGTCAGTGATAATTGGTGAACATGGAATCTTTGTCTGGAGAAGCTGTAGGTGTTCACTGTAAGCAGCCCCCCCACGCCGGCCTAATTTGTCAGACTTTCAGCAGGTTAAAGATAAACTGACAGGCCATATGAGAGAACACGTCCTGAGCCTGTTTGTCATAATGAGATGTCAAACAGAGGAGCTTAGTGGTTATAGATCAGTTTGTGGACAGGGCCAAGGGCGTCAGTGACAACAGGTGTGAACTCTTTTGTTTTTGAGGTATTGGCAGAATTTGACATCTACACTGTGTAACTGTATAAACACACAGAAGTATACAGTGTTGTTATACAATACAATCTCTATCGTATCCAGCCCAAGTCTAAAACACAACTTTTATGGGTTTAAATTAGGCTAAATAGGCCTGGACTTTTTTTCTAAAAGTTCTAAATGAGATTTTTCACGGATGAGGAATAAAATACTTATTTTTGTCGAGACAGAGATTGTGTAACCAGTGGTATGCAAACCCCAATTTGAAAAACCTGAATTACACTAAGGAGCATTGGTTACTGAAAGTTTAGAATTATCAAAATCTTGGTGTGAAGCCCCATTCTCAACAGCGCAAGTATTTCATTAGGCTAGTGGTCTTCAAACTGGTCCTCAAAGGGCTTTGTGGGGGCTGAAATTGGTGGAGTCTTATGAGCTCCAGCTTGGTTGGATTGAATACCTGCAGCCACGCATGCCCTTTCAGGACCGGTTTAAAGACCAGTGTGCTAAGCTTACATGTGTTTTACAAGTCCGTGGAGGTGGATGCAACTCAAAACATGCACAGAGTTGAACAATGCTGAACTTCTGCAAAAATGTCTACAAAATAACTGCGTCATATACACGGAGAAAAGAGGAGGAAAACTCTCAAAAAGCAGGATCAGCTCCCAGGTTAACAATCTGCCTTTGCCCTTTGCTACAGTTTGTACAGCTAAAATTCTGGAGGTGTGACATGGTCTCATGGTCTGAGCACTTCTAACATGATTGGGTTCCATTTACAGGGAGCATGGTGGAGGAAGAAGTAGATCCGACTTGTAGACAAAGACTTTAAGTTTGTTAGTACTTGGGATTTTGTAAAAAATGAAAAAAAAGCTGCCAGTGTGTGGGCCTCCTTTCATTATATACTCTTTATATGTTTGGAAATTCCAGTAGAAAATCACACAAAACCCTTTGAATTTAGTATAAATTTGGATACAAACTGCTTACTCAGTGAGGGCCTCCGTTCCTGGCATCAGAGCTGAGGTAGCAGCACGCTGACTTATCGCCATGGTGCTCCCCAGACTCCACTGGCCTTGCACCTTGTTGTGCTACTCTATCTAGACTTGGCGGCCGTTTTTGTGTTCTGGGTGTCCGGTGAGGCAATGTACCTTTAAAAGAGTTTGTTTCTTGGTTGTGCCTTGGCTCAAAAGGGACAAAGAAGAAGCCTGGGAACTGAAACGCAGTAGGCAGCCACTAGTGGAAATCCTAGAACTGTGATCTGCTCCCAAGTCGCCGGTCTTGTTTTTGTCATTACACTGCCCTATAATGTAGCACGGCCTTCCCACTAAGAGGCTTCTATGGTCGGCCTGAGCTTGTGGAGGGTAAAGCAGGACAGTTGTTTTCCCCGCAGTGGTTGCATGGACATGATTAACAGACTCAATGGCGGACAAGCAGTATGCAGCTCCAGGGAAAGTATATATATTCAACAGGGACGTGCAGTCAGGGGAGGCAGGGGAGGCAGAGCCTCACCTGCCATTATTGGAAACTAATAATTATTTTAGTTTAAATATATAATTTATATCCACTGTCCTATGCTTTTAATGTATATTCGGCACGGTTCCCATCAGTTTTGATCATTTCTGAAGTCAAAATCGCCGAAATCCCGTTATTCCTATTCAAAGAGACGAGGTGAGGCAGCGCTCCTGCGTGCCTCACCCCAGACCGCTCCCTCACAGTGTGTGTGTGTGTGTCTGAGAGCACTCAGCTCGTGCAGTTGATATATCACCGTTTGTTTCAAATATCCTGCTTTAAAAACATTTTTTAAACTCCTCTTAGTGTTTAGTAGTGTATTGCACGTATGTGTGTACAATTTATATTTAGTTTAAGTCTTTTGATCGTAGATGAACACACAAGGAAAAAGCTTGGCGTGAGGCAGGCGGTATCTGTGCCTCACCGCTAGGGGTGATAGTGAGCATAAAGTTCATACCAGAGTTGCTAACAAACAATCAGCCCAAAATGCTATTTCTTTTGCTGGAAAATGGATGATTTGAATGAAGATTTTTTTTCTCAATTGGACTTTCAAACAAAGAAAGAATTAATATAGACTGGGAGACCACCACTGGACTTACGAGGTTAGTCCGGCTGCGGGGGAGGAGTTTGTTAATCTGTGTTTTATGTTGAACATTGACAGATACCGGCAAAGTAGTGCTTTTCCGAAAAACACTGATTCAAACACTGCTCAAGAGTTCTGCAACTTGTTTAAATTATTGTTTATGTTCCTCGCGTCTCTCTCTCCTCGCGTCTCTCTCTCCTCGCGTCTCTCTCTCCTCGCGTCTCCGTCTCTCTCTCCTCGCGTCTCTCTCTCCTCGCGTCTCTGTCTCTCTCTGCTCCTCTCTGTCTCTCTCTGCTCCTCGCGTCTCCGTCTCTCTGCTCCTCTCTGTCTCTCTCTGCTCCTCTCTGTCTCTCTCTGCTCCTCTCTCCTCGCGTCTCTCTCTCCTCGCGTCTCTCGCACCTGCGCTTCTTAAAGATGTTGTTTGATGCGGAGCAGAGTCAGCAGCTAGATTTGTTGTGAGATTATTAAAAGAAGCTGGTTCTCTTATCTTTACAGTATATAAAGTTTGTGGATGTCATTGCATTGGTGATTAAATGCTATTTTATTTGAATAATGATTGTAAATCTGACTTTTAAAGTCAGTGCCTCCCCAATCACAAACCTCACCGCACGTCCCTGATATTCAAAAAATCTCTATTCTTCAGCCAAGACATGAAGAATGAATTATGATTGACTCGCTGCAATGGCTAGTATTTTGTTGGTTTCAAAAGGCCCTGTGTCCATGTG